ATATATATATATATATATATATATATATATATATATATATATATATATATATATATATATATATATATATATATATATATATATATATATATATATGAGATGTGAAATATGTAGTTTAAAAATATACCATTTCGGTTTTAAATAAGAGTTTGCCCATTATCATGGTTGAATTTTGCAAAACTCAAAACAAAAAATACGTAGTTCTTTGAGTTAACTTTTTAATTCAACTTGAATCACTGAACTTGGACGTTAGATAAGAAAAATATGAATGAATCAATGAACAATACTCACAACTTTACGAATTTAAATTATTTAAAATTCAAATTGTAATTTATCCATGCATGACCTCACCATACGACATTCAATCTAGATGATTCAAGTTGGATTATATTAGAAAGGTAACTCAAAGCACTACGATTTCAGTGTTTCGAGTATTGCCAAAATCATATTAGAATTTGATCAAAATCACATTTGAAGTAAAAAACGTTATTAGTACAACTGAAACGACACTTAACATTTCAGTATATATATATATATATATATATATATATATATAATAACTATATAAACTTATAATGACATTGAGATGTTAGATGACGAGTTTAGTAGTCTAATGGTTTTACTAACATTATGAAGAAAAAAAAATTAACTTTTTTCATGAGAATTATTAAATTACCAGAAGCAGACAAATATCTGCAAGCAAAATATATTTCAATTATATTTAGTATTTCAACGAATGGATTTTATTATTATAAATTATTATAGACATCGTCTAGTCAAATTCAGATTCATGTACAAAGTACAAAGTAAGGACCAAGACAAGTATTCAACACTTCAATGAACCTTCAAAGTTGCTTCATACAATAAATGCAACACTATTTTATTTTATTTATTTATATTTACAGCCAGAAAAAAAAATGGCTGAAGCTATAATTAATACAATATCTCAGTGCAGCACATGCAAGATTCTTGTATAAACTAAAAAAAAATAATTCAATTATTAATTATAAATGTAATTTCCTAGAGACTATCCATATTTGATGTGAGAGATTAAAAAAAAATTATACATCTTTATTTAATTGTCCTAATTAATTATGAAAATTGATCGCATTCTAATTCTATAATTGTAGTAATTTAAAAAAATATATTTAAATAGTATTTGGGTTGCAAAATTGGATTTTATAAGAAGATTTGAGAGCAAATAAATTATATAAGTGCATTTAATTAAAGTTCATTTTCGAATTAATTCAACTATTATATAATTGAAATTTTACCTCCAAATTGTTGCATCCAAATGCAACATTATGTTTAAGAAGGTTTTCGTCCCTCAAATTTGCATTGATTTCGATAAAAACACATTTTGTCATACATGTTTCAAAAATTCAACATTTTTAGTTATTTTCATCAATTTTTTGTTAGGACCAAATATAAATTTTTTTTTTGAACATGGATGATCAAAATGTGAAATTAATACAAACTAGAGGTGAAAACTGTAAATTTCCAATTAATTAAGAAATAAAATCTTATTAT